TATCAATTTGGTTGGAAAGGGTTTGAAGCAGAGCCTTCTGCGTTTCCCTATGGTCTCAAAGATATGGTTTCTCGTATCCGCTCGAAACACCCAAGTATCCAGCACGTTGCCGTTTGGCACGCTTTGCTCGGATACTGGGGAGGTATCGCCGTCAGTGGTGATCTCGCAAAGACCTACAAAACAGTGCTGGTTGATCGAGACGACTCTAATCTCAACGGACCTATGGCCATTATCGCCAAAGAGGACGTTGCGAAGTTCTACAACGATTTCTACCAATTCCTGTCAGATTGTGGGGTTGACGGCGTCAAGACTGATGTCCAGTACATGATAGACACCTGGGTTTCCGCTAAGCTTCGCCGAGAGCTTACAGCGACATACCTCGACACCTGGATGGTAGCAGCTTTAAGACACTTCAGTATCAAAGCCATCTCGTGCATGTCTCAAGCACCTCAACTTCTGTTCTACCAGCAGCTGTCACGAAACAGGCCAGTCATGTTGGCGCGGAATTCTGACGACTTCTACCCTGATGTTCCAGATTCACATCCATGGCATCTGTTTGCGAATGCCCATAATGCCCTTCTCACCCAACACCTTAACATTCTGCCCGATTGGGATATGTTCCAAACCGATCATGAGTTCGCGGGCTTTCATGCAGCTGCACGGTGTCTTAGTGGCGGACCCATCTACATCACCGACGTCCCGGGCAAGCACGATACCGATATAATCAACCAGATGACGGGGCCGACACCTCGAGGGAAGACTGTCATCTTTAGACCTAGTGTAGTGGGTAAAACCACTGATGTGTACACTAGTTACGACGAGCCCGCCATCCTCAAAATCGGGAGCTATCACGGAAGAGCGGTGACCGGAACACCAATGCTAGGCGTCTTCAATACTTCTCGACAGCCGCTAAGGGAGCTCATCCCGCTCTCAAATTTCCCTGGCGTGATGCCAACGATGAAGTACGTCGTGCGCGCCCACCGAAGTGGGCTCGTTACACGTGCTGTGACGCCTGGCTCGCCTGCTGCTACTCTCGCGGTGTCGTTGGTTGTCCGAGACTACGACATTTTCACAGCCTTCCCACTAACCCAATTCGAAAGTGAGACAAATGGGAGGATTTACATCGCTAATCTAGGTCTCATCGGGAAAATGACCGGGGCCGCCGCTATCACCACATATCAGTCTGAGCTGCTCCCTGCCGGCCGGGTATTCTTCGATACGCGGCTCAAGGCGTTAGGGGTTCTTGGTAGGCTGTTCCTTATCCATAAATAGGAGGTGAAATCATGGGACTAACTTGGATTAAAGGGGTGTATATATCGAGTCTACGCAATATGTCGATCGAGCGCGATTTTATGGTCACTATTCAAGGCACACCGATCCCCCCTCACACAGTTACTGTCAACACAGCTGACGATCGCGTACTGAACGTTGACGTTGAGACGGCATGGAAGGAGATGGGTCTAGAAGCCGGTTGGAGCAACGAGGTTGAAGTCAAGGTTTACTTCGATATTGAATACCCCTGATTATAAGCGATGTAAGCACGTCTTTTTAAGTTGAAATATGACTGGGTTTGGACGGATTGGGTACTTCCAATGCGACGAGAATGAAATGCATGAGAATAGGCGTAATTTGGAAACACTGATTTAGGTACTCATAGGAATTGGAACATACAACTCTGCGGTATGAGCTACTACAAATTGCATGCTGTGCATTTTGCTATCATTTAATTATTACGCTCCAAGCGTCGTGCCTCTCATCAGTAGACTGTCGCGATTGGACATGCCATATTTGCAAATTTTGGACAAATCAACCACACTCGACCATCTCTTTTACCCCTTACTTCAGCTTAAGCCTTCCCCAATCTCTTAGCCTCGCTAGCCACAACCTCGGGAATCGTATCCTTCAGTTTCGGGTGCTTCGCTTCCCAACCTAAATACTTCCTCGCCCTAGCCGCCACGCTCTTGGAATTGGTGCCCATCTTTGGGATGTCGATCTCCTTGGCGATAGCCTCGGGTATGAGCCCCTGCTTCGCGGCCTCCGTGGCGACCCACTTGCTCACGTCGCTCCACTTGTGCGTGCCGCTCTCGACGAAGAAATACGCGTTGGGCCCGAAGATCTCGGGGTTCTGGCTCTTGGCCGGGTCCAGGGCGGCGTCGACGGCGAGCACGAAGAAGTCGCCCAGGTCGCGGATGTGCACGTGGTCCCACTCGGTCAGGCCGGGCGCCTGGATGGGCGCGAAGTTGTTCTTGAGCGTGAAGTCGACGACGCCGGGCACCTGGATGCTGCGCTGGTTCCCGGGGCCCCGGCCCTGCCCGTAGATGGTGGGCGGGCTCACGATCATGGTCTTGACGCCGGGCGCCTCGTTGGCCGCGATCACCAGCTTGTCCACGTCCCGGTGGATCGCCGTGTCCGGCAGCGACGTGATGCGCGCGACGTCGTCGATGTCGTGGTACCGCTGCTCCGGCAGCGGCGCCTGCCCGTACCGCTCGTGCGCCGCGTCGTACCACGTCAGCAGCCCCGTCCCGCACAGGTGCAGCCAGTGCCCCGGCTTCGAGGCCGTGTGGCCCGCCGCTAGGCCCTTGGCGATGGCCTTGGCGGAGGGCACGTTGTCCGCCGAGTCGGCCGTGTCTGCGGATGGTCAACCACTTCTCGCCCTCTTGTCATTTATTCTCATGTCCTCAGGAAAAGGGAGAGAGCTTCACAAGAGGCTACCTACGGACTACGATGTCGGCGGCCGCGGCCTCCTTTTCGATGACGTCGGCGTCGTCCAGCGTGCCGTAGACCAGCCGCGCGTTCGGGTACGCGGCGGCGACCGGCTTGCCCCGCTCCTCGTTCCGCACGAGCAGCGTGTACTCGAAGTCCGGGTGCGCTTTGACCAGCGAGTAGAGGACGTCGCCGCCGATGTAGCCTGCGTTTGCCATCACATTTAGTAAGTTGCCAAGACAAGAAGATGCAGTCTCTTGCTAGAATTTGTGGTCGGGTTCATACCAGTGGCACCGGTGCTAGTGTGGTTGGTTAGTTATAAATCGGTTTTATCTTTATAGACTGCATGTTCCACTTACAGGAAGATCTTGGTATTGGGAGCCATTTCTGTCCGTTTGGCTGATGTATGTTGTGCGTGAGTGTCGTGTGCGTGTAAGTTGAGTGCGGGGTTGAAGGTTAGGAGCTGAAAGTTCGTAGTAGGTAGGGTAAGTCTTGTTTATTTTATTCCACCGCCCAAGGAAATGAAGCTTTATGAGAGGTAGAGGAAAGTCTAAAAGATATAGCCATTACGTAGCGATGCCATAGCGATCTGCATGACAAATGAAAAGATGGCATGGTTCGAGTTACGCCATCCGGTTCATCTTGATACAACCGCCCGCCCACTTCCCCCACTTTTGGGATTCCATAGAAGAGTCCAGTTCTCCAGTTTTCGGCATTGCTTGTCTCTTATTTCTTGTTTCGACGGTTTCACCTTCACTTACTTATTGCAGTTATTGGTGTCAATCAAGCATATTAGGTAAGTCGGTGCGATTCGCATCCCGTAGGTATTGCTAAAGCACAGGTCTCTTTCAGCAGAATACTCTGCCAAACTACACGCCATTATAAATCCGCATTCGCAGTTCCTCCCGTGCCGTTTACCGCGCGCGGGTTATTATTAAACCTCAACTTAACCTCAACCATCTATTACAGTGAGTATCCAAACCAGCTCTCTTTTTAGTGACGACGATGTCGTTCCGGTTGGAAGAATAAGCGAAGCCCAACATGTGTTCGCTATCCACGTTAGGATACACAAATCCCACCGTGTGTGTCACTCTTCGTTATAGATATCGATGCAGTACTACGGCGCACTCTAGAAGACCTTCGAGACTTACAGTATCATTCAATTTTTCTTTCAGTTCATCCGCAGGTGTTCCGAAAATCCTAGCAGGTTACGAGGACAAGAGAGTCCAAGATTGACGTTTGGCAGGATTAACCCTAACCCTAACCCCTCATTCTGCATATATATACGACAATCGCTATATATCTGCAATGCTCGAGCAATCAACCAATATTACTTCAAGAATTAAAGTGCAAAAAGCTCAGCCTGGGTTCTTGAGTCCCTGCCGAGGCTCGAACCCTGGCCTACGAAAACCCCGCAGAGTTTTGCTGACTGGACGTCTTTACCACTGAGCCATCGAGGGACTCGTCACCTGTGTCCCAGAAGTAGAGACCGTCCAGCCAAAAGTTCTATTGTTACGACGGTTTATATGTCACATGTTTTGTGCTCATGCCGTGGTAGCTGCAGTCTAGTGGTTGTTGGGCAGGCGTTGGACCATCGTGATACATACCTCCTTTTCGTTAACGCTGGATATGAGTCTACAAAGGGTATTGGAATGGCTCTCCAGGCTAATAGTTTCGTATAGCTATTATGTTTGCGTACTTATCGTCAAGGTAATCTCTCACATCCTCTCTTGGAGGTCTGACTTTGACGGGCTTTACTCAAGTTTAAAGGAAAACAGACATTTTCCTCACGCAAGCCAACAATTCCGGAAGGAACCCCTGACACCTAGTATGGGAAACAGACGCGTTCATATTTTAACCACCACCTTATACATGAAATAGACACGTACCAGGGCAATGTTAACAGCATCATTCTCTTACTTTATATAAGTGATCCAATATCTCCGGGCCCATAGTCATCGAGACTGGGCAGTAGTGACTATACTATATATAGCTCATACGCCAGTAAGGTTTAGGTGTAGCTCTTAGAGTTAAAAGTCCTCAGGTGCGCAGTTCTCTTCTTTACAATACTAATGCTACCCAACTTAATAGGCAAGTCTTACTAATATACGATTCCCGACTAGAATTATATGAATCGGTTAGGTTCGAATGTGAAGAACACTTTGTTATGCTCGGGTCTTAATATACAACCAATACACATTAGTACTCAGCACGTTGCACATTCAACGTTAAGTCGTAACCGACCATTGTATGTTTACGCTATAATCCACTATGTACGTTAAATTCTTAATTCCCAATGCCCCTTGGCCCAGTGGTGAAGGCGTCTGACTGTTAGCAAGCAGAACAATCAGAAGATCGCTAGTTCGATCCTAGCAGGGGCAGTTGAAATCTCCTTTTTCCTATTCATTTTCACGATTTTTTGTTCGATTTTGAGTATTTACGCTCTTACCAAATATCTCCCTTTTTCTCTCTCCATAAGTTGAACAGAATACCATTTTGAAGTGCTGTGGACTTTCGGAGCACACAGATTCTAAAAGACTATAGATTCATAATACTTTCAAATTTACCCCGAGATACGAGCAGTGATATTCTAGACTTTGCCTCAAGCACGGCAGTCTTTTACCTCACGAGTTCTTGAATATACTCCATGATATGGTCATGTCCCTGCCTATTGGCATGCGCTGTCGCAATTTTGCATTCATTCTCATGAAATCCTGCTCCATCAGTTGCATTCCAAAGCAATTTGATCATATCCAATCGCCTATGTTCTGTTGCACCTTCAAGTGCCGTTCTCCCTAATATCTTCGCACGCGGAGCAAAAACGTCAGCGCTGTTGTCTAGTAGCAAGCATGCCATATTGGCATGGAATAATTCAAATAATTCAATTGATTTTTCGAAGACTAATTACGGTCGCACTCAATTAAATTCAGTATCGTGAAATCTTCTAGACCCCTTTTATTTAATTGCTCCAGGTGCATTGAATATCAGGTATGCTTTTGCATTTGCTGACAAATCCGTGACAAATTTTGAAAAATCTCGAATTTGGGGGCCAAATTTGGAAAAATTGGAAAATGTATTAACCTAGATAAGTACATTAGTAAGTTTCAAGCTTACGTAACTGACGGTCAAATTGAAATTCGATATTTTTATCAGCGTCATCTACCACACAACAGTACATAACATGGTGAGTGAGGCGATCTACTTTTTGATTGGTCTTAATCAAGACTGAAATTCACAGACTGTTACTGGGAGTTGTGCTCGATGATTCGGCCGCAGATTTTACCATGCGATAAACTGCCAATCCTGTCATCTTCCTCCCACGACGTCAACATGGGTACTGGTACCGCTTATCGTCAAACTTGGCCAATAGCCCTTTCAAACAGAAACCGCAAACACTCACGGAAAAAATCATACAACAGCACATTATCAGCAGTCCGGGAAAGTCCCATGCTCCCCGTCCTGGCGATTATGTTACTTTGTCACCGTGAGAGACCACCTGCTCCTACGAACGAGACGCATCCTTGCTAATGAGGTCTAGATTCCACTGCATGACACACGACAACACCAAAGCGGTCCATATCAAATGGACAGAGCTGGGTGCAGACAAGGCTCATTCACCCCCACAGCTCATTTTTGGGCTTGATCATGACGTAAACAACACCAGCCCCAAAATTTGGAAGTACGCAGAGATCGAGGCTCTCATGTACTAACTCCCGAGCGAGCGACATAGCTCGGGCCGCTCAGGTCTTCCAGGATGCCGCTAAAGCGAACCCGCAAACAAAGCTTAAGCTTGCTGATGGCGTCAAGATGTATATCTCAGCGGCGTCGGCCCCTGAACAGGAGGCGGCTGAAACTGCAGGTCATTGGCACACTCTGGTAGACGCTGGTGCGGAGCCCATGTACCCTGGCTGTGCGCAGTGTATTGGTCTAGGCCCCGGCTTGCTCGAAGCAGGCGAGGTGAGACGACGAAACCCAAAATCAAGGAAATCACTAATCGACAAATCAAGTTGGAATCAGCGCAACTAACAGACCTTTCAAGGGTCGCATGGGATCTCGAGAAGCCTCAGCGTACCTAGCAAGCCCCGAGGTTGTAGCCGCCAGCGCCCTTCATGGGACTATAATAGGTCCGGGTGCTTACCAAAAGCCAGCGGGATGGTCCGGCGTCGAACACGGGTACGGCACTGGCGCAGAGGCGTCCACGGAGGACCAGCTTTCCAACCTTGTCCAGCAGATAGACTCCCTGGTTGAGCGGATTGAGTCAGCGGAAGGGGAGTCTGCTCAGACGGATATCCTACCTGGATTCCCTGAAAAGATCAGGGGCCAGATCACGTGGCTCGATTCTGACAACCTCAGCACCGATGGCATCTAGTGAGTAATTGGCATCAGTTGTCTCGGGTCGGGGATGCATTGCTGACGGGTTTTTCTTTGTAGGCGCGTGCCTGCATGCAGAACTACGACCTCGAATTCGACGCCCTCGCGCACGAGGGCGACATTATGTATCGGGCTACAACTTCGGCACAGGCTCGTCTCGGGAGCAGGCCGCCACCGCGATTCTCGCCAAGAAGATCCCTATGGTCGTAGCGGGAAGCTTTAGCAGTACCTTTGCACGGAACAGCATTAACAACGCGCTCATGACACTCGAACTGCCCCGATTGGTAGATAAGCTGCGCCAGCGATTCCCCCCCTCTAAGGAAGACGAGCAATTTGTGCTCACGCGCCGCACCGGATGGACGTTGACGTGGGATTTCCAGCGAAGCGTAATTGAGGTGCATGAGGGTGTTGGGGGTGAGATGTGGACGGAGAAGGTTGGTGAGCTGCCGCCGACAGTGCAGGCCATTATTGCATCGGGAGGACTCGAGGCGCATGTCAAGACACAGGTGGCTGCTCAGAAAGCATCATGATGCTGAGCTTTCTTGCGTGATCGTTGCGTCTTGACCGAATATTCTGCACAAGGAAAGCGGAATCTCCCGGATGTCATGGCCAAAGGGAGTAGTCGAGGGATTCGTCTTTTAAGCTCCATCCTCATCATAAAGCTTTATAGAAGCTCTTCGCCATTCGCAGGGAATTCGAATAGCCTTATGGGCTGTTACTTCTTGCGTCAAGTATTTGGGATCTTGCGATCTTACGATACATTACAAGATCTGATGAGTAGGTATTAAACTAGTCCATCTTCAGTGGGTTGAGACTATGCCCGGCTGATTTTTAAGGGTTATCATATGATACCTTTTGGCGTCCATAGTCCGTCCATCAACACGACCTGCGCAATACAAGTAATTCGAATTCGAATGACTTCCGAATGAAAGCCTGAACGGGGGAGACACTTAGGTAATTAGATATCTGTTAATTCAGCGAGTATAAAATTATAGTTTGTACTTTTCGGATTTCTATGGTTGCTAGTATACCAGTCCATCACCGATCTAGCTAATGAGACTGCGAAAAGTAACTGAAATAAGACCCAGGACCATCCTCATCGAATAATAATTATCTTCAACGCTATAAACGCTATAATTCCCCAGAAGCCTCCCCTCCACCTAGTTCAGAAATCAAGTTAATTAATTAGGTAAACTCAATTGTCCGATGTCCAGTCCAGAACATTATCATACGGAGTATCCCTGGTCGCAAGGCCGTTGACCACGAGTTTCTGGAGATCCTTGTGGAAGCAGTTGTCGACGGCCGTACTATTGTCGCAAACTGGCCACAGGGTCTTGTCCGTCATCCGACAGAATGTTCCATCCGCGGGGTTGAAGAAGTCTGGACCAAAAGACGACTCGCTTTCGCAAAGCCCACTTGCCGTGTGCTGGGCGTTGTTGCTAATCACCAGACGACTAGAATGAGGGCTGTTGGTAGAGGGAGTGGTGCTGTTGTTAGGAAAGTCCGTACCATTCGATCGGGGATAATATGACGGGCCACGTCGGAACCGAGCGGAAGTAGGATACTTTGCTGGGCCATAAGAGATGGCGGTGTCCTCGCCCTCGACTCTATCATCGGAGCGTTTGTTGTTGATTGTCCAGTAGGTAATACTCTTCGGATCCTCGGTATCGGCATAGTTGTACATTTTGAAAGGGGGCCCAGCGTTGCACAGCCTCTCTATCTTGGCAGCCTGGTCCGTCTGGTCTAAGGGGGTGTCGCCGTCCTTCTGCACGAATTCAGGCCAGTGGACTTGGAAACCAGACTGGGGCTGGTCGTTGTTGCCATCGATCCAAAGGCAGTCGGGCTTGTCATTGCTACCGCTGACATAGACGTTTGAGTAATACCTGGTTTACCACTATTAATATTTCATAGGTATAGTAACACCTAGATTGCTTAACTACATACCAAGACCCGCCGCATTGGTGGCCCCAGTCGCCAACCCAGGAGTACTTGTCCCCATTTGGCCAAGTTATTGAGGCAAAAGCGATGCAAATTGCATCGTTGTTGCCCGAGAACAGGGCATATGTTGCCTGCTGTGTGGAGTCGTCTTTGTGATCGATCGTAATGTCACCGTAGCCTCCGCTCTTAACTTTACCTGGGCCAGCGGTGATGCCTAAGAAACCACCGGCCTCGTTGAAGAGCCGGACGTCTGGAAGGTCACCACCAGCATTGTTGAGGCCACCACTGGTATCGAGTCCGACGGTGATTCGAACGGTCGAGCCAACTGACTCCTGTTCCGCGAAGTTGTCAATGCCAAACTGGATAATCCCAAGTACACCCGAGATTACGCCAATTGCTTCGATGATTCCTGCTGCCATGATGTACAACTAAAGAGGAGATGTGACTTAGGAATTGTGTAAAAAAAGGAGTGTGGTATGGTTTTTAAAGAGTGTAAGTTGGCCGGCCCCTAAAGAGTGAAGAGAGTTGATGTCCAGAGACTTGTGGTTTCAGTAAGTTATGTTGGTCTCTGGCTGTATTATATAGTAATTATTATTGAGTATTACAGTGTGATTCACACTTAACGATTCATGGCATAACCCGGAATCCCCTCTACTCTCGTCGAGATCCCATGCATCAGCCTCTCTAGGCGTGGAGATTAGAAGGATCCGGAACCAATTTTGACTCAACAAATGCAATTATGATCATTGTTCTGCCGAGAGCCTCGCTTTCTCTAGCTTAATCAAGCCGTCGAAGTGCTTTCTAAAGCGTCGGATGTCGACGGTCAAAGTGCTCACCTGAAGGATTAACAATGAAACATTGCGGCTGAACCAAATTAACCTTTGGGTGTGTAGAAATGTGCACATTTGAGGCTAGATTCGACGACGAGTTACTAAATCGTTATGACATTATAGGCTATATTTACCATATAGGAAGGTCTAGAAAAAGACGAGGTGAGTAAGCCGACGCGGAAATGAAGAAGGATAGAGAAGTGCAGCTTCAGCTCGACGACCCCTTTATGCGACATAACTCAA